CACCTCTTTCTAGACCTGCATTTTACTAATGTAGGCACATGTGAACATCCTGAAGTAAAAATAGGCTAACCTCTTTCTAGACCTGCATTTTACTAATGTAGGCACATGCGAACATCCTGAAGTAAAAATAAGCCAACCTCTTTCTAGACCTGCATTTTACTAATGTAGGCACATCTGAACATCCTGAGGTAAAAATAAGCCAACCTCTTTCTAGACCTGCATTTTACTAATGTAGGCACATGTGAACATCCTGAGGTAAAAATAAGCCAACCTCTTTCTAGACCTGCATTTTACTAATGTAGGCACATGTGAACATCCTGAGGTAAAAATAAGCCAACCTCTTTCTAGACCTGCATTTTACTAATGTAGGCACATGTGAACATTCTGAAGTAAAAATAAGCCAAACTCTTTCTAGACCTTCATTTTACTAATGTAGGCACATGTGAACATCCTGAAGTAAAAATAATACAGAAAAATAAGCCAACTGAACAATGAAGTGTTCTACTTTATTAAGATCCCTTTTTAGCAATTTTACTATATAAAAATAAAAAGATGTGGTGTTATTTCTATTGAGACAACTATCCACCTGATCATAGTCTGCCTCTGTCCACTACCTGAACTAGAGATACCTCACATATAAATATATCTCTATAGATCCTATCTACACAGTATAATTATGACTAATGACTAGTTACTACTAGACTAATGAGATAGTTAACACTAATGGTAGACATATGTTATCTACATTACACTAATCAACTCTCTGTAACCATGCCAATTTATATATTTTCTTTTATTATCATATCTTTCCATCTTTCTATCTGTTTTATTATCTGCCACCATTTTCACCTTATATTTTCTCCAATTATTTTTAGAAAAAAATCAGGTAGATTTGTAAAAAAGCATATAGTTCTTATCCTTTCTGTTCTATTGACTGTGACAATTATCCTCTTTGAGCTGGAAACTAAATAATGTATAAACAGACACAACATCTTTAAAGATGGTCATCACACAAAAAGTTGAAATAGCAAAACATGAAGAAAGAGCAAAACACAAATAATATTGAAGTTAAACTTGAAAATTGAAGGTTTTTGAACCACTCACTATATGTACTCTCATATCATCCATAACTCTCTGATAGACAATTTTTAAAATTAAATCAGTACAGGGAAGACACACCATGGGTAAATGAGCCCATTTCCATATTTTATAATTCAGATAGATGTTTTTCTTTTTAAAAACATGTTTTACTGAAAGCATCATGACTTGTAAATATTAAGGAGTGAAAACATAGGTCAATAGGAAATAAGTTATTATGGTTTTAACTGAATTTAGAAATATCAACTTACATTTCTCAAATAACCTTACAAAACAAAAAAAGGTCCAGATTTACAAATTTTAAAGCATTAGATACCTTTCTGTTGCCAGGTTAAAACTACTACTAAATTGAAATGTATGTGTTAACACTATTTGTTTCCTTGCCAAATATTTCTGTTTTTTTTCCATTTAGTTTTCAGTATTTCAAATTAACTTGATAATAACAGGAATCTAAAATTCTGTATTTTCAAGCACATTAAACAGAAAATGTTATCTTTGTAATGTCTATAATTTGGCAATATCCTGACAAACTGCAGGGTGAGTCACAAAGAAAATATATACAACTACATTTCAAGGCCTCTTTTAGCTAGATATACTAACATCAAGTATTTGCTTCCACTTCTTAATCAGACAGATGCTGATAAAATACAATAACAGATATGAAACTGATTGAATGTAAACATTTCTAAACTAAAAGTTTGTAAAAATACCACAATGGTAGAATTTTTTTTATATTTTATCAACAGATGTTTTAATACTTTTTATAAGCATTCATGTATAAAACACTGTTAATGTTAAAATTTGTTCTAATCTATTCATTTTAAGTTCCAGCTTTCCCTAAGCTAATAACTTTGACCTTTTTTCTGGACTTCCAATGATCCTAAACAGAAGTTTAGTCTATGTTTTATCCTTGTTGGACAAAACTATCAATATGTATACGTTCTAAAATTATTAAGAAGCTAAGAGTCAAGAACACATTATTGACTTGAAATGTCTTTCATTACAAGTTAAAAGCATGACAAAATAAAACTTTACATTTAATATTTTCTATTAAGTTTAAAGTTTATAAAAATTGTGTGATTGTACATTTTGATTATCTACTTAACTAAAAGATAACACCAATTATGGAAACAAAAAATTGCCAGCTATGATACTAATGATAAATCCAGGAGACAGAATGATAACAACTATTATTTGACAATTGAAATACCTAATGCTTTTAACTTTATATTGATTTCATTGATAAATCAATCAGCAATTTTCACAATGGTCAGTAGCCAGGGGAGGGAGGTTCATTAGAACCGCCCAGAAAACAAAAAAATACTAGAAAGACTATTAAAGCTGAATTCAGGTTAAAGTTTGTCCATCAAAGTCAGGGAAAACATGGCTACATCCTGGCTACAGGCCTGAATATAGTCTGTCTAGTTAAGTGCAGGATGACACTCTTGTTGTCTCTGTCAAATCATATCTGACATATTTGATCAAAACACTCATTCTACATATAATGTTTGGTAAAATTTAATACTAGTAACTGCCTTACTCTAAACGACAAAATTGAGAATGGAAATGGGGAATGTGTCAAAGAGACAACAACCTGACCAAAGAGCAGAAAACAGCCCAAGGCCACCAATGGGTCTTCAAAACAGCAAGAAAATCCTGCACCCGGAGGCAGGTTTCAGCTGGCCCCTAAACAAAAATGTGTACTAATTCAGCGAAAATGGACATCACATTAAACTCTGAAACATATAAATGAATCATATTAAAAAACATACAAGACTAACAAAGGCCAGATGCTCCTGACTTGGGACAGGCGCAAAAATGCGGCGGGGTTAAACATGTTTTGTGAGATCTCAACCCTCACTCAATACCTCTAGCCAATGTAGAATAAACAAAAACACAGCAATACACACAGTAAAACTCAGTTTAAAAGAATCTGACTTACAGCAATATCTTTGTATAAGACATAGAATGGCAAAATATATTTTTGAGTAATGTGGTTTCTCATACTGTTAATTAATGTTTGCATCAATGTGAAAAATGTGCTCCGCCTGAGGGAGCTGGATACGACCGCAGAGGCGGAACTCTGAACAGTTGGGGCAAGTATGGACGCAATATTCAAGCTTGATACAGCTCTGTGTTTGGATAGCGATTAAATATTTGACACATAATAGATTTCTGACACCAAATAAATGTGGTCAGATAACTTAAAAATTTGGAACAGGACATTTAATCTACTTAATGGTCCAATATCCAAAATCTAATTCCATGGTTAGATTCAGCTTGTATAAAAAAAAAAAAACATGAATTAAAACAAAGTTTAATTTTGGACCATTTGGACCTTAATATGGACTAATTTGAAAACAGGGCCCAAAAATTCAAAAAAAAATGCCTTTTTTGGCCCCTTTTTGACCCATAATTCTTAAACAGTTGGGACCATAACCCCCAAAATCAATCCCAACCTTGCTTTTGTGCTATTGAACCTTGTAGTTAAATTTCATAGAGATCCATTCACTCATACTAAAGTTATTGTCCGGAAACCAAATGTCTTCGGACGATGACAACGACGACATGATAGCAATATGCGAATGCAAATTTTTTGCAGTCGTATAAAAATGGGACAAGAAAAGAATACACATTTTGTATTATAATAGCATAATTTTAGTGCAGCATATTTTGATATCACATTAACAAATCTAATATTTTTGTCAGTTAATCGTCAATCACATTGTCAAATGCACTCGAACTAATTTCTAAATTATTCACCATAATTACTAAATTAGTATTGATAAACTGCTTCGCCTAGCGTAGCTGGATACGACAGCAGAGGTCCAACCCTGAACAGTTGGGGCAAAAATGGACACAATATTCAAGCTTGATACAGGTCTGAATTTGGATTGTAATTAAATATTTGACACATTTTAGGTTTCTGACACAGAATAAATGTAGTCAAAGAACTTGAAATCGGTTATATGATTTGAATTTATATTCAATTGAAGATTTCTTGCTGTTGTGCAATACACTGTGCTGTTGCGTAATACTTAGTAAATCTGTTTTCAGACTATATACAAAGAATTAGAAAAATAAATTGTGACCCCCAATTTTTCTTTGGAAAATTGACAATTTCTTAAATCTTGAGAAAATTTCCCCCCCCCCCCCCCCCCCCCCCGAAAAAAAAATATTTGAAGAAATTTTCTTTTTGTCAAATGTGGTACAATTTAAGAGACATCCATATAATTAAACACAAGTTATTGTCTGAAAACTAGAAAAATGCTTGTTTTAGACCTTTTTTGGGCCATAATTCCTGAATGGTTTGGGCCTAAAATGAATCCCAACCTTCTACTTATTGGTATTGAACCTTGTGGTATAATTTCAGAGCAATCAAAATACTTATACACAAGTTATTGTCCAGAAACTAGAAAAATGCTTGTTTTGGGCCGACAACGTGATAGCAATATACGACCGCAATATTTTGCGGTTGTATAAAAAAGTAAAGGGAGTACCTCCACAGAGACAATTTTAGCATTTTTTTTTTCTCTTAATTGGACAAATGTTGAAGACCCAAAACAAATATGTGAAACAAACTTTAAATATATCATGTGTGGCTTTAACATATAATAAAAAAAAACAAACAATTTATGGGTAAAGCATCTTCGTAAGATTTACAAGTAAATAATACACAACTAGTTTTGTAGAAATATAACTAATTTTTCATAGAAACATCAAGACAGAAGTTTAGTGGTAATATTGTCCAAGATATAACTGAATCAATATGCCAATAACATATTCTAAGTTGTCTCCCTTTGATTATAACTGAAAAGTTAAAAACATGTTAATCCAAGCCTATGAACATAATTATAGGTTAAATATAAGGCATGCATAAGAATTGACAATAATTTACTTACAGGATTCTGGCTTTCTATTTCTACTATTCTGAACTCTAAATCATCTATCTTCTCATAAGTCTCCACTAACTCATCCTTTAATCTGCAGTTTTCTGATATCAACTCATTCTTCTAAAAAGCAAGAAAATGGGAGAAAAAATCATTAGATATATAGCAGTAATATCTGATTCGGGTATATATTTTATCTTACTTACAAATTTTCCAAAGTAATTGCTTGACATTATTATGTTTAAGTCATAAGTATAACATGTATAAGAAAACTGCCATTTTGAAAGATAAAAAAATTCACAAAATATCCATTCGCTCTGAATACCATTTTTGTAAGAGATTTGATCTAATTTAAATATACAATTTATAACTATTTCATTACAGTGAACAGTCCTCTCCATTTAGTAACTATTTCATTACAGTGACCAGTCCTCTCCATTTAGTAATTCATCTTTAACAGAATGCACTAAAACTCTCAGTCAAACCAGAGAGATTGATGACAGACAACAACAAACAGTTGACAGAGTTTCATTGGCATTGGTTTAAGTAATAGTAACTCAAAAACATAAGACTCATATAAATTGTAATGACAGGCAAGTAAAATAAATTCCCAGCATAAGTACATATGTCTGTCTCCCAGAAGTAGGTACTTGCTAATGAAACTGACTGATAATGATAGTAGTGTAACATGACCTTCTAAACAGGTAATCTATCAACCAAAGCAGGTACAATATTTAGGTACTAATTACCTTCTCATTCAATTGTCTTTCAGATCTTCTAATATCTTTAACTTCTGTTTTCAGTTTGCTTGATTCCTGAAAAAAATACCCATCAGAAAACTGATTATATTTTATATTCATAAAAAATTAAAGCTGAATTATTTCTTACTATTTTTATATCCTTGTTTCAATCTTGATATTAGCTATGTAAAGCAAGCATCACAGTTCACAGCAAACAACAAGAAGATCTACAAAGCCTGCATTGCTCACCTGGAACTTTTTTGCAATTTGAATACTTCCAAATAGGAAAAAAAATGGGTAAAATATTTAAGAGCAATAACTCCAAAATAAGGATGTACACCTCTGAGGAGCCAAAAATTTCTAGAATTAAACTTTTTTTCTCAACCAGATTTTTTGATTTATATGACTGTAAAAAAATAATTGGTAAAGAAAAAATCATATGGTAGTGCACTTCTTTTTTTTGCTACAGCCAAAGTACCCAATTTTGATGATTTTCCCATTTTTCATTAATTTGTACCCATTTTTGGGCTATTATCTTGAAAAATAAACTGTTAACACAGAGATATGTCTCGCCTATTTGTTATTTTGATAATGCAAATGTTGAAATTAAATAGCAATACTTTAACATGTAAGTTATGCAAATATTCAAAGTCAATGAACCATGACTGAAGGTACAGGGCTAAACAATCTCCATGGAAATGAGATGTGCCAATGTTAATACAACTGCAAACCATATACTATTGTCTTTTTGTAAGTCGTTCCCTTTAAACAAACCTAAACAAAAACATTAACTTGTAAACTATGTAAAAGTTTCAAAGTCAATGAACCATAATTAGGGGGTGGGGTTATATAATCTCCATGGAAATGAAACTTGCAAATGCCAATACATTTGCATACCAAATATCATTGACTTTACATTAGTGGTTCATCTTAAACTGACCTAATCACAAACTAATACATGAAAACTAAGCAAAAGTTTCATAGTCAAAAGACCATGAATGAGGGGACGGGGCCAAATAATCTCCATGGAAATGAGATATGCCAATGCTTATACAACTGCATACCAAATATCATTGACCTACCACTAGTGGTTCCCCATAAACTGACCTAATCACAAACTAATACATGAAAACTATGAAAAGTTTCAAAGTCAATAAACCTTGACTGAGGAGGCGGGGCCAAATAATCTGCATGGAAATGAGATATGCCAATGCTTATACAACTGCATACCAAATATCATTGACCTACCACTAGTGGTTCCCCATAAACTGACCTAATCACAAACTAATACATGTAAACTTTGAAAAGTTTCAAAGTCAATAAACCTTGACTGAGGAGGTGGGGCCAAATAATCTCCATGGTAATGAGATGTACCAATGCTAATACAACTGCATACCAAATATAACTGACCTACCACTAGTGGTTCCCCATAAACTGACCTTATCACAAACTAATACATGTAAACTAAGCAAAGTTTCAAAGTCAATAGACCTTGACTGAGGGGGAGGGGCCAAATAATCTCCATGGTAATGAGATGTGCCAATGCTAATACAACTGCATACCAAATATCATTGACCTACCACAAGTGGTTCACCATGAACTAGACCTAATCACAAACTAATACATTGTTGACGCCGCTGCCGTTGTTGCCGCCGCCGGAAACAGCATACCTAGCTATGTCTTGCTTTTTGACTCCATCAAGGCGAGACAAAAATCACAGTTACACAATTAAACTTTTTTTCATAAGAAAGTTTTATAAAATTTTGTTGCTTTTTCGTGTCAAATTTACCATGTTGTCAATTTTGTCAATTTTGGATTTTTCTCTTTTTATAGAACAAAAAGCATATTATTTCAACTTCTTTGTTATAAATGATTGAAAAAATACATCTTAGAAATTTGAAAAGAAAAAATTGATATGGGATGTACATGTATCTGGTAAAATCATTTCTTGTACCCCTCACCCATTATCTCAACATTTTGGCTAATGAGACTGACTTGATTGGTTATAAAATTTGAAATTTTTATTACTCAAAGACTACTTATTTTAAATACACAATTTTTTCACAGAGTTAAGTTTGATTATAATATTTACTAAATTCGTTGATATTTTCCACTTGTTTCACAAGTTTTGGAAAAAATTCCAAAACGAGATTTCAACGAGACTGAAACGTTAGAAGAATACATCCTTAAGAGTCAACTGATGATTTCAACCACATTCCATTATTTGTAGTTCATTCAATCATATCAATAAATCTTATTTCCATGATCATTTTGGTTATATTAGTTTTCTAAGGTTTCCACAAAGTAAAAGCCCACAAAAATGCATAAGATTACCATTAAAGGACAATTACTCCTATAAGGAGTCAACTGAAGATTTCAACAATGATGACTTACTTGTAGATGTTTTCCTTTTAATCATTTTGCTACTTACAGTTTCTCTCTATATTCAAAAGTTACCACAAATAAACACAACCAAAGGGCTCTAAAGAGCCTGTGTTGCACACCTTGATCTTATGCATTTTCAAAATTGAAGACTTGAATATCATTCATGACTAGGATCTCTCTTTTGTTGATGTTGTCATGCTGATAATTTTCGCTGTTTACATTTTTCTTTATCTTTTACAATTCTTGCATAATATGCATAAATATTGGTAAAAATCATCATAAGAGGGCAGTAACTTCTATAAGGAGTACACTGAAAGTTTGGCCATTTTGATTTTTTTTGCTGATCAGTCTTGGTGATAATTTTTGCAGTTTTTTTTTAATCTTATAAAATTTTAGTTTTGGTAAAAAAATCCAAAATTGGTAATAATTGTCTTTTAAGGACGATAATTCCTATAAGAAGTCCATAAACAATTTTGACCATGTTGACTGATTTGTATAATAGATTTCAATAGAATGGACAAAAATGGCCAAAAATGCCCCCCAAAAATTGGTAAAAACTGTCATTAAAGAGCAATAACTCCTATAAGAAACTGACTGACGATTTCCTCCAAGTTTGACTTATTTGTAGATCTTGACTTGCTGATCATTTTTGCTATTCAAAGTTTGTCTTTATCTATTACAGTTTTCAAGATATAAGCAAAAATGAAAAATATTGGTCAAATTCATCATTTAAGGGAATAACTCCTATAACAAGTCGTCTGACAGTTTTGATGTCATTAGACAGATGGTAGATCTCAACATTCTCAACATATCTGCCACTTCAGAATTTCTTGATCTATAGTGGTTTTCATGATAATAGACAAAACTTGTATTTTACCACTATGTTCTACTTTTAGCCATAGCAGCCATGCTAGTTGGCAGGCGGGGTCATTGGACACATGTTTTAAACAAGATACCCTAATGATGATTATGGCCAAGTTTGATTAAATTTGGCTGAGTAGTTTCAGAGAAGAAGATTTTTGTAAAAGTTAACAGACAATGATGACAGACGAGGGACACAAAGTGACGAGAAAAGCTCACACTGGCCCTGTGGGCAAGGTGAGCAAAAAAATACAAAAGAAAAATATAGCAAAATTCAACATTTTATGTGTGTAATCTTTCACAATGTGTCTGAATTTCCAACTAATAAATAATTATTGAACTGGCATAAATGAGATTTGTGATAATTGGTTACTAAGAAACTTCTAAATTTAAAATACCGGTAATTTACTTATGGTAAATAAGGTTACAGAACTGAGACCAAAAATTTAATTTTGTTTTTATATATATTCAATGATGTATTTGAATATCAAATTGTAACCTAGAATGTCAACCATTTTTTTTAGAACTTGCTTTAAATATTCTAATACAATCATGTAAATGTAGTGGTTACCTAGAAGATTTATAACTGCTTTACTTGGTAGAGTGGTGGTTTACTGTGCTAGGGGTCGAGGATTCAAACTCAGGCTAGCACAGTAGTAATTTTGAAGGAAAACTATTGATACATGACAACACTTCCCTTCATTTCATTGAGGGCATCTCACAAACATGCAATAACTGTTACACAACAAATATGACAATAGCACAAAACAAAAAAATAAATACTGTGGATTCATTTATTTTCGTAGGTACCAATTTTTCGTGAATTGAGGAAAACTCAAATCATGAATATCTGATTTCATGGCTTTGCCAAAGTCTGCATATATTCCTATGGAAAGGAGAAGGTCCGGTAAGGGCTTATTTTGGCCTAAAATTTGAAGTACATCTGATAAAAGATTTTTGACATTTTTTACTCTGATAAAAGATTTTTTACATTTTTTAAACAATTAAGTGTCTTCTTCAGTCGATTCAATCAGTTTATGTAAAAGATTTGAACTGATTTTGTCATAAAAGACGCCTTAATTCAAGCTTAAATATGAAAAATCTATCAAATATGCCACAAAACGTCACTTTTCAGATGGTCTTTTGTCTAAAATGGAAGTGGCCGCATTTGTGTTCAGTCTCAACCTTTATATATGTTATGTATCATGATCAAATACAACACATATTTAAATATTAAGACTGAACACAAGTGCGGCCACTTCCATTTTAGACAAAAACCGCCTAAAAATAAGCACAAATGCTGAAATTGTGAAGATTTCAGTAATTTTGCATGAATTAATGATGCTAGTACCTGATGCATGTGCATTGTATTGTCAAAAACAGCCCATATTTATGTAACATAAGTATTCTTCTTTCCAATAAATAGCTTACAGTTTACATCTTTAACAAATTTTTGAAATGCTATATTTTGGGGCCAAAAAGGGGTCTTACCGGGCCTACTCCTTTTGTTATTCGTTGAACACTTCAATTCATGGTTCCCCTCTACCCACGAAATCCACGAAAATTGATATCCAACAAATAATAATAAATGCACAGTAACAAATATCAAATTTAAAAAATTTTACATGGATTTCAGAAACTTAAAATATGTGCAATAAAAATTTTAAACTAAAATCAACATTGCAAAACAAAAATAAACACACAAACAAAGAAAAATAGGAAAAAAGAAACACTCAAACATACCGTGTGCTAATTAAACACATGCAGATCATGCCACAATACCTCCTTGGTTTCTTTTATTTGCGTCCTCAGATTTTCTATATTCAACATGGCATCAAACAGATCAGATTCTAACTGCTTACAAGTCTATATATAGATATTATGAGATGTAAATATATTAAGGATGTACTTAGGTGAAATTAAAAAAATCTAGAATTTAAAATTGATACTCTAAGTCAGTCGAACATCGGACAAAAATTCCTAAACCTCACCTAAGTACATCCTTAATAAAATGCTTCGCTGAGCGCAGCCTGATACGACCGCAGAGGTCGAACCCTGAACAGTTGGGGAAAATTTGGACACAATATTCAAGCTTGATACTGTCTGAATTTGGATTGTGATCAAATTCTTGACATTATATAGGTTTCTGACACAAAACAAATGTGGTCAAAGATCTTACAAATCTATTGCGCAATACTGTGCAATTGAAGATTTCTTCTTGAAACTTTTCAAAAATTCGAAATTCGAAAAATTTTGAAAAAAAAAATGAATCCTTTAAAAAAATTGTAAACAAAAAATCCCCCCCCCCCCCCCTCATAACGTATTGAAACCCCCCTTGGAGCAATAACCCCAAAACTCAATCCGAACCTTTCCTTTGTAGTATGGAATCTTGTAGTATAATTTCAGAGAGATCCATAAACTTAAACACAAGTTATTGTCTCGAAACTAGAAATATGCTTCTTTTTGGCCCTTTTTTGGCCCCTAATTCCTACATGTTTGGGACAATTAACCCCAAACTCAATCCCAGCCTTCCCTTTGTGATATGGAACCTTGTAGTACAATGTCTGAGAGATCCATACACTTACACACAAGTTATTGTCTGGAAACTAGAAAAATGCTTGTTTTTGGCCCCTTTTTGGCCCTTAATTCCTAAACTGTTTGCCCCATAACCCTTAAAATAAATCCCAACCTTCTACTTGTGGTATTTAACATTGTGGTACAATTTCAGAGCAATTGAAATACTTATACACAAGTTATTGTCCTGAAACTAGATAAATGCTTGTTTTGGGCCCCTTTTGGGCCCCTAATTCCTAAACGGTTGGGACCATCATCCCTAAAATCAATCCCAACCTTCCTTTTGTGGTATTGAACCTTCTAAAAAAATTTCATAGATTCACCTAACTAAAGTTATTGTCCGGAAACAAATGTGTCTTAGGACGAAGACGCAGACGACGACATCATACCATTATACGATTCCAAAAATTTTTTGCAGTCGTATAACAACCACATGACTAATACATATACATATTAAATTTCATATAGAGGTATCAAAGCATTACAAAGTGTTCCAGTGCAGCCTCAAAATTGAAACTGTAAATCGACAATGATTCTACCAGCAATTTTTTGTTAATTAGTTACACTCAGATTCGTTTTGGTGTTGAGTGAGCTGTGATCCCAAAAGACATTTCAGGAACTGTCAAGATATAGAACAGCAATAGAAGCACTGTTCGTTTATCTTGATATCATCTCATATAAATAATTCCTCATCCATTTTGACCATACAATTTCCTCGCTTGATTCATTGAATAACTGATTATTGCTTAATGTTGCATTAGCAACTTGACAAAGATTGATTTATTAATTATGGTATTAAAGTAAGTTTCAGTTCCCTTGGCTTTATCATGTTGTTGGGGGTGTTTTTGGTTCTTGTCAAACAGTTTTCTCCCTGACAGACATCTTTTTACTGATATGGTGATCTGTATTATAAAATTGATGGTTAATTGTTGTTCGCTTCACGTCTAGTGGCAAATAGTTCATGCATGTTCAGGTTGATCTGCATTATAAAGCATTCAATATGGCAAAATTAAGCAGATATGACTATCATATTATAGATTGAATAGCTTGGTATTTCTTTATGATTTCTTGTTACAAACAAATTTCACTCTTTTCTTTTATATACCTTAAAATGTCTTTCTGGATCCATGGTGTTACTACCACAATATTTCTGTAATATGTTGTGTAATCTCTGAAGTTCTAAATGTTCCTTCATTAGTCTCTGGTAATTCTTTTCTATCTCTTCTCTTGATAACTAAAACAGAATATTATGTTTACATGCTGAATATTTTTTCTCTGTTCCCTTAACAGCAAAACTTTCCACTTTTATTTAATTCTTGACAGCAACTAATTGTAGATGTCATCAGGGTTGAAGGGGTTATCTGATATACATTTGCATGGGGACTATCTTAAGACACTCATAATCTAGGATTTTCTCTGGTGGCAGTATTTTGAACTATAAGAACCAACTAAGGATTATATGTTATAGATCTTCATAAGATCATTCCTGGCAAGTTTGGTTAAAATTGGTAAAGTTTGGTTAATAGTCGTCATTATTTTCAGGGACAAAAATGAAAACTAGTCCACTCCAATGGTTTCACACCATGTAGAAAGTATAAAAAGGGATTTTAAAAAGTTGTCCATTGGTGTAATGCTTTATAAAGTATGAGATTTAAGACAAGTGCTTCATTGGTATAAGGGTATGTAAAATGTGAAAAGTTGACAATTAACCTTTCTCAATCTTATAAATAATTCTCATAAACTATTATCACAGAGATATGTCTCGCCTTTTTGTAATTTTGATAATGCAAATATTGCTATTAAAATTGCAATACTTTAACATGTAAGTAATGCAAATATTCAAAGTCGATGAACCATGAGTGAAGGTACATGGCTAAACAATCTCCATGGAATGAGATGTGCCAATGCTAATACAACTGCATACCAAATATCAATGACTTAACATTAGCAGTTCATCTTAAACTAATCTAATCACAAACTAATACATGTAAACTAAGCAAAAGTTTCAAAGTAAATAGACCATGACTGAGGGGGCAGATCCAAATATTCTCCATGGAAATGAGATGTGCTAATGCTTATACAACTGAACACCAAATAACATTGGCCTACCAATAATGGTTCCCCTTAAACTGACCTAATCACAAACTAATACATGTAAACTTAGCAAAATTTTCGAAGTCTATAGACCATGACTAAGGGGGTGGAGCCAAATAATCTCCATGGAAATGAGATATGCCCATGCTTATACAACTGCATACCAAATATCATTGACCTAACACTAGTGGTTCCCCATAAATTGACCTAATCACAAACTAATACATGTTAACTATGAAAAGTTTCAAAGTCAATAGACCTTGACTGAGGGGGCGGGGCCAAATAATCTCCATGGTAATGAGATGTGCCAATGCTAATACAACTGCATACCAAATATCATTGACCTACCACTAGTGGTTCACCATGAACTAGACCTAGTCACAAACTAATACATTGTTGACGCCACCACCGATGCTGGAAACAGCATACCTATGTCTCGCTTTTTGACTCCTTCAAGGCGAGACAAAAAGTGTACGACATAGTCAGCTATGGTAGACTTTTAGCTAGCGCCATAATTCAACAGAATAAGTCTGAGAATTTCATTTTGATCTGTCAGAGTATAATTAACTATCACAAACAATTTAGATTGAACTTTATATTGAACAAAGAGGATTCATAAATTATTCTTAATCTTTAATCCAGGAGAATGAGATAAAACTTAGAATGTTTCTTGTGTTGGATGCCATCCAAAGTAACTTGGCAGAATTTATAGGTTTCAAAAATAGACTTAATTCATCTTTATACTAAGAGTTAAAAGCTGTTTGTTAATAATAAATTTCTAGAAGCCTTTATCTATTTATTTTTTTTGTTTAATCTATTTGATCAACTACCACCAGATAACCAATTTGATAACATGTTAATGGAACTTATTTTCACATCAGCAGTATTCGTCAATAAACAAATTATACCAGGGATCTTTAATTGTTTCTGTCAAATTTATTCACAACTCTTTTTTTGGAGCTTGATGGAAATTGAACTGTTTTCATTGTATATCACTGAAAATTCAAATTTGTGCTAATTGTGACATCATTGCTAGAGATATGATAATAATTATAATGGTTAATAAATCCTTACTTGAATTTTTTAGCTAGAAATAGGGGCATTGACTATGGCCTTATGGAACCTACTTCTTTGAAAGAAGCCTTCAAAACTGGTTGCTAATCTAGGATCAACTTTTTAAGGCTAGTTAGGCTATGGTTCATTCTTGATTGTTTTAATTATCAGATCTTCTCATTCTACAGTGTAACACATATAAACAAGAATCTTTTCAAGTTGGCCACATTTTTCAAGTTTGTTTTAGTTTAAACTAATTAAAATAGTTTTCTATTAAAGATAACATTTTAGATCTGTTTTTTTTTTACATAGAATAAAGAACAAGATTTAAACTTTTTAATCGACCTGTTTACACATATTCTGTAATTATCATTATATATACCTCATCACAAAGTTCCTCGTCAGATATAGTGCTCTGAGACAATATGGAAGACGTCTCTGAAGAATCTATCGAGTCTTCTTCATAACCGAAAAATGTCTCCTTTACACCACGAGAACTCTGAAGTATAAAATATGTGAAAATGGATTTTTTCAAATAGTTCACATCCATTTAAAAGGAAAACCATTAAATATGAAAGAAACAATACCTACATAAATCAGACTTAATCTTATTACAGTAACCAACATTACACATGGAGAAAATTTCAAGGTCAAATTCAAAGAATCAAATGTACCAGGTTTTCATAAAAATAAATAGAATTTTCATGGAGCCATTTTGAAAAATTGTATGGAACAACTATAAAGAATTGTTACCAATGACCTTGAAACGATGAAGGATAATATTCATTATAAGGTTTTTAATCTAAGACAGACTTGCACTACTTACAAATGTTTATGTTGAATAAGAAGTCATTTTTTTGGGTGTTGTAAGTTGATTTATTTTTACAGTAGCTATTACACACATTAAAACAAGTGCTCTTAAAAATACATCTTGTCAGTTAATATATCTGATGACATTCCAGATCTCAAAAAGATGTATGTAGGTTAGGTCATGGTCATGATTAACCTTTAGGTATTATCCAATAATGTGAAGTAGGACTATGGAATTGAAGCAGGCAATAATGGGGATTCAATATTATTCATGGGGTACCAATTTTCATGTATTTTGTAGAAATAGGTAAACCACAATTCAAATGTTCAAGGGAGTACATATTTCTATAGGCAAGTATGCTGACTTTGTCAAAACCATCCATGATAATAAATGAATCAACAGTATACAAAGTTATTGCCCTGATACAGCTTCTATGTATTTCTATTCACATATAAAGGATTATATACCATATAATTATATAACATCAAATACCTGTCAGATGTACTGGATATCTTGAAAATACATATTTCCAAGGAGCAGTAACTATAAGTATTATTCAGTCTTATCTTAACATGCTAAACAATATTGTAAATATAAGTTTTTCTTGATCTTTGATATAATAATTACCTTTTCTACGTTTCTATACAGTCTTTTTTTCTTTTTTCTATGTTGTAATAATTCAATTCTTCTGTCTTTCTCCTGCAAACAAACAAACAAAAAATGGTGGACACTGGACTTTGATTTTATAATGTATGGACATTTAATTCCATGGACACACATTTAATGACTACCTTATTTACCTTTTGCATATATATATATGTAACACTCAGAAACGTGTCCTTCCCCCCAAACGTGTCCGATTCCCCCAAACGTGTCCACATAACGTCACTGAACTGCAAAACATGTCTAGTTGTAAAAGGACGCCAAAGCGTGTCATTTGTATAAACGCCCAAACGTGTCCATTTTTTTTATTAAACACCCAAACGTGTCCATATCAAGCTTAATTGTTTTCTTTTACTGGAACTATCATTCGTGTCCATATTATAAATACGTAGTTTATTTGGTTATTGCTTTTTCATTAACGTATAATCATTTTACTATTTCATTAAAAAATAGAAATAAATTACTTTAGGTCTTTTTTAAACTGGCAGTATAACCTGGGTAAAAGTGGGGGCGTCAGTTTCGGCCTAAATTTTTTACATTAAAATCCCAACTAGAGTTAATCCCGAATAACCGTAAAAAATTAGGCCAAATCCTAAACTCCCGGTATGATGATAGAACCTACATGTGTATCTACAGTATTTATTGTTAACATGATGTCGTTCAATAATGCATGAAATATTTGGCACTGGACGTTATGTCTCTTGTTCGTGTGTCTTTAGTGATGCTTGAAACCTAAAATTTATTAAAAAACCTGATAACCAGTTTATGATTTGAAGAGCTTTTAAAATATCAGAACTGTTGAAAAAAGGGAAGTCGAAAGCCCGCCGTGCAATATTCGAATTAATATAACAGTTTCAGGCATCATCGGAATTTATTAGTACAAAATAATTTACATAGATTAATTCAACTGTACTAGAATTATTTGTATGTTCGCTCTTAAAGAGCATGAAATACTTGCAACTGGACAATTTCAGTCAAATGTTAATTCATATGTTACAGATTAAATTTGCAATTATGATAATCATAAACAACCGGCATTGAACAGACTTATGTTAATAAATGACTACCTCATAGAATTGCCGTAAACGTTATTAATTTCATTTAGGACATGCATGTATTGGCGCTAAAAGACGTGAGACGTTCTGGCGTAAAACAGTGGACACGTTTTGGCGAATAACAATTATCGGACACGTTTGGGCGTTTTGAAATCGGACATGTTTGGGCGATATCAACTTTTAAAGACACGTTTGGGGGGATGGACACGTTTGGGAGTGTTACATATATATTTTTTATAAGTTTTAAATCAATTTCCAAACTCCCTTCTGTGTTCTCATTTCTCCTCCCCTGACCAATGTATATTACTTACAGCACATACTAGTCTGAGAGCAGTGACAGCTTTATCTTGAACAGTCAGTTCCAGTTTTAACTTTTCCATCTCCTGGAGTCTTATCTCTAGTTCTCCATTGGTCATTTTCTCTTGGTTTATCTGCTGAGTCAACTGTTTTATTCTCTTCTTTGAGTATTCCTGCTGCTCCTTCTGTTTAAAACAAATTTAAAACACTTTAATTAAATATTGTAAAAAGACTATTCAACATGAATTCCAGTGTTTGTAATTGAAAAATATTTTAATCTTTAATACCATGAGAAAGACTAAGTCAGACTTTCAAATGAACTGTATTCCAATGACCAGTGCTTTTGTAATTGTAATAAAACTAAGATTTCAACACTAGCAGGCATGTTATGTTTAGGTCCCTTTGGTTTCAAACCTCTCAAAGGTTTTAGATTGTTTGCCTTTCAAACATAAGATCTCAAGCACACCTTATGCAGGTTATTCCAGAAACATTGGCTCAGTATCATGGCCAGTTCTTTGGAAATGATACATTTTGTGCGTAAATTTTCAGTTAATAAATTATTTAATTGAACAAAAACTATGGTTGCAAGCCTTCAAGCAATGTAGACCATGGATTTTTAAAGAAACATATACAATGTGCACAAAAAATGGTTTTGTACCAATTTACATTAGTTTCATTATAATTATCAGGTATAATTTCAGGACAACTGATCAACTAAGTGGAGCTTAAAGTTCTACAGGTAAATAAATAGTAATGTTTATAACAGTGGATCAGATTATTTCAGAACCCTTTGATTTTTTTTTGAGTGGTCTTACTCTTTCTTAAATCCAAGTCAAATTCCACAGTGTACTTGTAACAAGTTTAAGTACACCATCAATAACTGTATATATAATATGTTTACAATAAGTCAGTGTACTGTTGGATGTAAGCCATAGTCATTACCATTTTATTGTAGTCTTTAGTAATTGCTTGTATATTATCTGTCAATTCTCTGTTCTTAGAAGTCAGTTCTATATTCTTCTCCAGAAACTTTTTATTCTTTTCTTTAAAGTTTTTCAGTTTCTGCTCACAGTTTTTCAACTTCTGAAGAAGAAAAAAAAACACACTTACTTACATGTTAGAGAATATATTTATTACAAGACCAAACCCTTAATGATTATTATATCCCATGATCTGTTTTTGGTAAAAAATCTGAGTGACTTCAAATTAAGATGTTTCCTAATATACAAATGTTTCATATCAGTGGCAGTTTTATGACATAATTCCATAAAAATTAAGAAAAAAGCTGAAAGTAGCGAGGCAAAATTTCTAACAGAAGATTTGTTAAAAAAATATGTTTTCCAATCAAAGGCCCCACACCCCTGAATCTGTCACTGCATATCAATATGAATAGAAGGAAATATGGAGGACTTGGTATATATTTATGAGACAGCAACCCAATGACATAATGAACCAAAATCTTCAACAATAAACGAGTATCTATGCAATATGTTAAGCTCTAAAATGCCCATAGTCTAATTAGTTGTGAATAATCAAACTCTCAAAGATCTGCCATTATCACAAAATTTATTGGCAATGACATTTACAAATGATGTAAGACGACAACTAACACAGGTTTTAATTAGGATAGGCACGTGAACATGTGGCAGGATTAATTAGTTTTATCTTAAATCTCAAAACTCCCCCTTTTTTCTCATTGGGAGGACTTATATTCATTCCTGAATTCATTAGATATAGCATCCATACAAATTTCTTTGTAGTTAATATTTATTGCTAGAGGAGAATCATAACATATTTCTGATTACAGAATAAATCTATTTCTAGAATTTACTTACCATAGTTGAATTTTTCACATCAAGCTCAGAACTAATTGACTCCCTTTCCTAAAAAAAAGATGCTTTATGTAAATCATTACAATGGATGATAATTATGCTGCCAAAAAAGAAATATTCATTTCAATGTGAAAGTAACAACTAAACTTGAGGCTCAAAAGAGCCTGCTTCACTTGCTTTGATCTATATGCATCTTCAACAATGGCTGCTCTCCAGCATTGTAGACTAGTATATAATTCATGACTAAAATCTCTTTTTGTTGATCTTGTCTTGCTGATCAGTTTTGCTGTCATCAGTTTTTCTTTATCCATCAAACTTTTTGTCAAAAATGAAAAAAATGGGCAAAAATCATCATTAAAGGGTAATTACTCCTTTAAATGTCGACAACAATTTCAGCAATATTGACTGACTTGTAGATTTTGTCTTTTTGAATTGTTTTTGTTATTTAAAAATTCTCTCTACCTATTCAAGCCTAAAATAATGGGCAAAATGCAAAAATAAATTGTAAAAATCAACATTTCAGGGGAATACCTAATATAAGAAGTCAAATGAAGATTTTCGCCATGTTGACCTAATAGTAGATCTTGTCTTGCTGATCATTTTGCTACTTAAAGTTTCTACATACCTATTATAGTTTTCAAGATAATAGACAAAAGCAAAAAAAAAAAATCATACAAGATGTTGTCTGACAGTTTTGATGAAAATGACTGAACATTTCTGCCACTTTCAGATTTTCTCTGTTCTATAGCAGCTTCCAATTGGCCAAGTAGTTTCAGAGTAGAATAATTTTGTAAAAGTTAACAAGACAATGGAAGACAGAAGACAGACAAGAATAGCTCACTTCTACCTTAAAATGAAGCAGCCATTTAGAAATTTCTCACTATACAGAATTCATATATTATTTGAATCTTTAACAAGATCATGAAGATTATTAGATTGCTTAGCATGCAGTGGCAAATACCTCATGTATGTAAGAACAATCCTAGCTTAGCTGTGTCTAATAAATTAAAACCTACACTTTGGGAGCTAGAAGTCCTTGATTGGACTTGTGATAATGCCATTATCCCAGAACTGCCCTGGGCAGCCATCTTATCAAGACATGATTCACATTCCAGCAGTAGTTTTATTGTATTCCTGGGCAGGTCTGGGTCGGGATCATCTTCCTTTCTCAGCTTTTCAATCTGAAAATAGATATTTTTCAAAGTTCAAAACATTAGCTCACACACCAAAATATCTTATTTTATTAATTGTTAATAAATGAATATGTTGACAGTTTTTTGTGATAAAGGCCTTATTGCAAGTATCAATAATAACCATGAGTGCATGATACGCCTGTTGCTTTTTGCCTTTTACCTGGTCTTTATGCTTTAAATGAATTTGTATGATCAACTAGAAATACATGTACAGTGAGCACTGCTCAAATATACCCCCCCCCCCAAAAAAAACAACATGCACACATTAGTACCCATTTACACAAAACATGAATATTTTGGCACTATTATAAGGCTACCTCAAGTATAACTAAGTTGTGGCCTTGATTTTTGAACAAATAAAATTATATAACAGTCCAAAGTGTGAAAAATGGAGTTTCCAATGATTTTTCAAGGAATAAAGTTTCAGAACTCCACAATGTCATATCAGAAATTTATAAAAAAAAAAACAAAAGGAGCTTATTTCAATAGATATAAACAAGCCCCCAAAGTTTCATGAAAACTGCCAAAAGCGTTTTTTGAGTTATTGTCCAAAAACTGAAAAATCCCCCCTTTTTTATGAATAAAGTCCCAATACTCCAAAACGTAAAATCAGAATTTTTTTGTTCGAAAGGGAACTTATGTCAATATATATAAACAATTCACCAAAGTTTCATGAAAATTGTTCAAAGCATTTTTGAGTTATAGTCAGACAAGAGTGCACATGCTGAAAAGTCTCGCCTGCTTTACTGACCATTGATTTTATGTTGATAATCCTAAATATAAAGCTTTACTACAAGTATCACTTAAACTTAACATGATCCAAGAAAAATGAGGACAAGGTCATCAGATAAACCAAACTGGAAATACATGTATACCTTACAAACATTCAATACACCAAATATTGTTGACCTTTTGCTTATAGTATCTAAGAAACAAACTTAACCATGAAAACTTAACATTGACCAATGAACCATGAAAATGAGGTCAAGGTCAGATGATACCTGCCAGACAGACATGTACACCTTACAATCATTCCATACACCAAATCAGGAACATATATATTGACGGGACTTGACACTACCTAATTGTAGCCGATTTTATCGTCGGGTCATAGGTAATAAAGATACGATACGGAAACCGACATGTGTTAAAAGCGTACTCGCTATTATCCTAATAATTTCTGATAATATCAATAAAATGTCATTCCAACTAGTTTTACAGTGATGCCAGTGTATCAAACTTGTATTCTATCACTTCAAATTTGTTATAATGGCATTCATTTTGTCACAGAATGGTACAGAATACAAACAGGGTAATAAAAAAATGGCGTCCATTGCAATCCCAAATTTAAAAACATTATAAAACACTTCACATCAAATAAATCACACTTATTTTGATAATTTTATATGACAATTTATATCTACTTTATGATAAAACTTGTATTTATTTACGATTAGCATTATGTGGTTGATTTATTGAGCAATTCCGATAGTTTTTCAGTCAGACGCCACCAGAATCCATAAATCTCGCGAAGTCTCGTGGAGTCCGAGATTTTATCAACTTTATACTGAAAAGCCTATCAGATTCATTTCCCGTTAGATATACTGTTCCCAGACCAAATATAGTTGACCTATTACATTTAGTATTAGAAAAAAGACCAAAAAACAAAAACTTAACTTTAACCACTGAACCATGAAAGGTCAAGGTTAGATGACACCTGCCAGTTGGACATGTACACCTTACAATCATTCTATACACCAAATATAGTAAACCTATTGCTTATAGTATCTGATATATGGACTTGACCATAAAAACTTAACCTTGTTTACTGATCCATGAAATGAGGTCGAGGTCAGATGAAAACTGTCAGACAGGCATGAGGACCTTGCAAGGTATGCACATACTAAATATAGTTATCCTATTACTCATAATAAGAGAGAAATTAACATTACAAAAAATCTTAACTTTTTTTTCAAGTAGTCACTGAACCATGAAAATGAGGTCAAGGACATTGGACATATGACAGACAGAAACTTCTTAACATAAGGCATCTTTATAAAAAATATGAAGCATCCAGGTCTTCCACCTTCTAAAATATAAAGCTTTTAAGTAGCAGCCGCCGCCAGGTCACTATCCCTATGCGACAGAAGTCGTAGGCTCGACAAAAACAGAAAAATCACTAATTTTTCATGAATAAAATCCCATATAAACTCGGAAACGTAAAAACTAAAATTTATAAAAATCGAAAGGGTGCTTATGTAAATAGATATAATCAATTCACGATAGTTTCATGACAATTGGTGGAAGTGTTGACAACAGAGGGACAACAGTATACTATAATATGTCCTGTAAACGGGTGTATAAAAATAAATTTTAAAGATGAAAATTACATCAAAGTCAGGTAATTCCTGTCAGACAGGCACATACACCACAGTGATTCTATGAACTATAAATATAATTTTCTTACTCTTCAAAATAACTGAGAAAGTTATCAAAGTACCATTTTCAACACTGATTATCAAATGGAAGTGAACACCTTGCGAACTCTGCATAACAAACTGTAATGGAGTTATTCCTCATAGGGTGGGACAATCAATTACAAATAAAATGCTAAGGTAATTCTAAAAATCCGGTTAAAAATGAAAACAGTGATCATGGTGATGGAGGATATTCCAGTTTATTTATTATAAAACTACAAAAGAAGTGTTTAAGTTGTCACCACAAAAACACAAGAGGCTTCCATGATTGTCTCCCTTCAAATCAAATACATTTAAACTTAAACTTAAACTTGAGGATCATTGAACCATGAAAATGAGAACAAGCTGAGGTTCTCCTGTCCAATGGTCAAATACATCTTACACTTAGCACATACTTAAAACTCCTCCTCCAATCAAATTGATGGAATTTGCCCTCCAAGTTTCATAGTATATACCTTTCCATAGACTCACCATTACATAATTGCTGATAAATTACTTAAGTTCTTGAGTAACTGACATCAGTTTAATAATCATGAAAACTTGATACTGATCAGTGAATATTTAAAAGATATGACTCCTGTTAACAGACCTAGACATTTACAACTTACTCTGAGTTACTCATATCCATAGTGAACCAGAAACTGACATATTTGTGATGATCATATCATTTTTTAAACTGTAAATATCAATAAACTAATGCAGGATAGACATGTACAGCTTACAAACAACTGTAGTTTATTCCATATATATTCATTACCCATGTAAATGATAAACTGACATAAGCTCTTAAAAATTGCATTGACCCTGAAAAGAGGTTAAGCTCAGATTGACAATAATACACTACAAGATTGAACAAAAAACTATGTGTGTTAAGAGTTTCCTACATGAGAAAAATAGGGTACTGTAGTTAGGTAGGACTTCTTTTTGAGTTTGCTGACTCTTCTAATTGAGGATATGGGGAGACCTGCAAAAGAGAGGCCAAAGATATACCAAATTCAAAGCCGAAAACAAACTGACAATGCCAAGGAAAAAACGAAAAGAAGAAAAACAACAGTACACAAAACATAGCATAGAAAACTAAAGCCTGAGTAACATGAACCCCACCGAAAACCAGGGGTGATCTCAGGTGCTCAAGAAGGGTAAGCAGGTTCTGCTTGACATGTGACACCCGTTGTGCAACTTTGAAATCATTCACTCAAAAAGTGCTGGTATAAAACTTTACAGTTGGCATTTTAAGTCATTAACCAGACCAACACAGGGTCTGGACCTACATCGATGCATGCAATTGATGGAGGTAACATGTATACTGGAGCATAACTGATCATTCCCTTTCATTGAAGCCAAGAAAACTTTGACTGGAAATTTTCCTTGTACAATTAGTGTTGTAAAATCTGAAACTATCAACAAACAGGAAATGGTTGCACTGCAGATGTAAAAATTACTTACACACTACAACTTATCCTCATTATCATTGTAACATTGTGTGCACCCAAAATCCATTCTTTTAACACAATTCAGCTAACCTATGGAAAGTTATATATTCCTAAAGATACATGTAATTTCAGCCATATACAGCTGAAAATTGTCAACTTTAGAAAGTTCTGTAAGTTAACTCACAAAAAGGATACCCCACCTGTTCCATAAATTTGATAATCTACTTTTATAATGTTGGGCAGGGTTATGTTCTTTTATGCTAATCCTTAGGTAGTGTTATAAAACTGTGTAAAGTTTCATCAATATCCATACAGCTTGTTATAAGTTGACCTTGCAAGGAACATGGACAGACAGACTGACAGACAGGGTGATAACTGTATATAATACCCCCAAAACTTGGGTATAATAAGGATAATATTGTTACCGGTATGTGCTCATATGGTAGCTTAAGTATGAAGAACAGGGATAATTATATTTGTTTGGAGTTTCTATTGGTTAAATGATTGTTTATATCAACATCATATATATATTCAACAATGGTGTGTCATTGTACAATACAAGTAGACAGCGTATACAACTTTCGACTAAAATTATATGACTAGATTTTTATAATTAAAGTTACTTTCTTTTTCATTGTGAGAAAATTGTCCTCAAAGAGCAAAATACATTAAATGTATGTAACTGTGTTTTGAATATCTATTTCAATTCTCCCATTCAACTGCTTTCCCTGAACAAATAAAAAGTTATTTTTAGAGATTAAAATTTTAAAGAAACTTACAATAGCGATAAGATGTCCCAATGTACTATAAATAGGCCTCACATGACACTCGTCATAGCCTTCAGAATGACACAGTTCCATTCCACCATAACAGAGGTGTTGACTACAGCAGGGTTTTGTTCTTACTGACGAAAAATCACAAACTTTGGCACAAAATCAGATTGCCATGGAGAATAGAGGATAAAAAAATACTTGGCTATTAAATAAACAGTTTGTGGAATTTGGCAGTTGATTGCATGATACTTTATGCACTCACAGGAGGCAAAGAGCAGAATAATTGAATTAATTTAACTAATTATAACTTACATACATGCATACATTTTCTTTATTCCTTTCACTCTTTCATTAGAATTATAACAGGCATCTAAAAGGGGGGAATTTGTATTTTACTAAAGATTATAAAATTATGGGTAAAAATAAAATGATATAGTAATAATTATTTCGCTAGACAAAAATTTTTAACCATTTAACTATTGGTGAATTTATAAAGTTAAAATTTAATTGTAATTTTGTTTATATTAATTTCTCCAGTGATACCCACTTGGTACCTCCCAGTGTGATGCAGACTGTTTCATCTGTTACTGTTGATTGTGTGTTTTTGCAAGTCTGATATTCAAGTTGATTAACAATTAATCATGACAGATTTATCACTGATTACCTCTCGTTCAAAAGTCAATTTAAATATATTTACTACTTTTTAATGATATTTCTACTATGTTTAATGGGCCTTGGCAGTAAATAGCTTTTTAATCTACTATACAAAATAGACAAATTAAAAAAAAAAAGAAACAAAAGAACTCAGATATGTAGATACATGCAAGGATTTATAAAGTTTATATATATATATAAATCCTCAAGGTACATGAATGTCTGTACAATTTTGATTTTCAATATATTTCTTTTTTGAGGGTTTTTAATTTTAACATGCAATTTCTGGAAGTTATTTTTAAAATGTTATGTAACAATAATCTGCAGTGCCTCCCAGAAACAGATGTTTAAATGACTAATAATTAATTCTATAGCACTATCATTAGGACAATCTTTATACCATAGGAAATAAACTTAACATGCATGATTCATAAAAAGAACAAAGAAATAATGGAATTTCTAGAGAATTTAGAAAGATATTCTCATTCAATAAATAATAAATTTAATTTATTCAAAAAATAAAATAAAAGAAGAATGTGTCTGAGGACATGAATGCCCCCGCTAAAGCTTTTCAATTTTCCAAGTTAAAAAGGGGCATAACTCTAGAAAGATAAGTGACTCACTGCCCAAATTCGAACTCTGTCTGCTAGTTTTGGTTCCTAGCATTGTGTATGATATTTTCATAAAATTTGAATGAGGAAAACTTGTGAGGAAACGAAAAATATTGCAATTTTCAAATCTATAAAGGGGCATAACTCTAGAACTGTAAGTAACTCACTGCCCGATTTCGATTTCTGTCGGCGAGTTTTGGTCCTCAGAATTGTGTATGAGTTTCATAAAATTTGGATGAAGAAAACTAAAATTAGAGCGTGGGAACGAAAAGAATTCCAATTTTTCAAGTTATGAAGGGGCATAACTCTAGAACGGTAAGTGACTCACTGCCCAAATTCAAAATCTGTCTGCAAGTTTTAGTTCTAAGTATTGTGTATGAGTTTCATCAAATTTGCATGAGGCAAACTTAAATTAGAGTGCAGAAATGAAAACAGGACTGACAGAAGGATCGACAGTCAATGGTAAAATTTAATGCCCCATTGCCCACAGAGGGGCATAACAAATTATAATCCATTCTAAAATCAATTTTTGTGGAAATCAAGTTCTTTTTATTGGCTGGACAATTGACGCCAACTACTATAAATCTTGGATTAACAAAATACAAACCATTTTCCAAAGGTTCATTTCAAACATCTTTACAAAAAAGATTGTCAAATCTTGGCGTCAGAGATGAGAGGGGGTGCAGTTGGACACAATAAATGACCATACCTAATCTTTAAATATTCTTTTGAATTATTTTATCCCAATGTAATCCCCAGGGCCCTATTGCACCATGTAGTACTATAAAATTCCATAAAACTACTGAGAAGAATAGTGATTTATAAACTTTTCTGTTTGAAATTTAGTTGCAAGCAACTCAAAAGTTAAATGTTACATTGAATATATTAAAAGGGATTTTTTTTACACATTTCCACAAATGGAGATTGAACTTTGCCACATTGTCATTGGAAGATGAATCACTTTACTACTGGGCCACTCCAGAGGGAGAGTCTATCACAGTGAGGGACTGAATTGTTCATGTTAGATTCATGGCAAAATATATACAATGTCTTATAAATGCCAAACAAATTAACTCACAAAGATATGAAAATTATCATACTTGTCAGTATATTTGAGATTTCCTGAGGAAAATCAGCAAGGGTCCTTAGGAACAGTTAAGATTCCCATGGGTCCAGGGCAAAGGACAATTAGCTCACAGATTAAAGTGTTTATAAGTTATCTTAAAGGGTAAATTGGGGCATTTTTAAAGCACAAAAAAACATTTCTAAGTTGAGCTCTATGGAGCAAGCCAAATGACTATTAGAATTTTAAAAACCTGTCCAATCACTTGTAAAGGGTGTTCAAATTCAGAAGGCCTAAAAGTTAAACATATTAAGGAAATTTTAGGGTTACAATGCAAAACAACAAATGTAGCTTGTCTAGCTGAGACAAAAAGAAATATGCACTTAAAAATTCAGCTTTCAGCTATAAAATTTCTAAACCACATTGTAAACTCACCTAATTTAATGACATTGGTCTATAAAATATATAATAATGTAGAGAAAACATGTAAATGGGTTAACATTGTAAAAGACTGGTTAAATAAATTAGGATTTGCCATCTTACTTTTGACCCCATTATATTAATATAAAATATTATATAAATACTATCCAACAAAGAATCGTTGACCAGGTTTATCAAATTATGAAACTGTTCTATCCTTAAATGTGAAAAACTAAATTTCTTTTGTAAGACTAAAAAAATTGGAAAAAGGCCCCTGTATATCAATATATGTAAATTAAAAACTGACAGATCATCATCAGTTTTCAGTAAATTTAAACTCAGTGCCCATTGCCTAGCAATTGAAAGGGGGCGTTATACCAATATTAAAAGAAAACAACGCATTTGCCTATCCTGTAATAGGCAAGAAATTGAGGATGAATACCATTTCTTCTCAGTCTGTCCATGCTATATATAATGGAGGAATACCTATATACAAAAAATTAATACAAATCTTAAGTTCAATTTTATTAAATTGCAATCAGCTATAACACTGAGGCATATGACCACACTTTTGAATAGCAGTTTGCCAGCCATTATAAAAATCACCAAAAAATATATATTAATGATTGTCTTTTATTGAGAAAATCTGTATAAAATTTATATTTATATTTTTTGATATGCATCCTTTTTTGTTCATGGACATTAATAATTGTGTATCTGTCAATACACACATATTTGTAGTCTTCTTTTTTGTGTGATTGAATACCACTGTCACTCTAAATTAATTATTGTCAGTTTATTATTTCAATTGTACTATACTGTATGCCATAACCATTTATTTAATGTAAACGTGTTTGTGCTAATAAATATTGTCTATTATCTATTGTTTATGTGTTACCACTTAAATATATCCCTTTGGTGTTAAATAAATCTTCACCTACAGGACTGTGTATTGCCCACTGTAGGTTGTGACCCAAATTGATATAACAGAGGGGGTTGTTCCTTGATTCCCATTTCCGTACCATCCAACTCTGATTTTCCTCCCCTGACTTTCGCTTCCCGCACCCTCATTCCTAGTCCTAATAATTATAACATGTTGTCCTTGTTGAACTAAGGATTTGTATAGTAAGATCTTACTATACAAATCCTTGGTTGAACAGTTGAAAGGTTATTTTAATTTTTTTGTGATGCCTTCATACGTGAACATGGTGAAGCACTGAAGGGCACATGCACTTGTCTCTGAGATTTTTTTTCCTGTATACTACCTTTATATAACGTTATATAAAGATATATAGGAAATTTTTTTTAAAGACAAGTGCCTGTGGTAAAGGACTATTCAAAAAATTAGAATAGCCTTTTCAAGACGTCATAATTATTTGGACTACCTCATTCCCGTGTTCCCTTACCCTTGCCTACCCCTCATAACAGATAAGTCACGAAATCTACATATTCTCAATTAAATTGGTAGAGTACCGCAGCATTTGTCTGTCCTTTTCCTTCCAGTCAAAATGCACACCGGATGTCTCAATACTAAACTTCAACAGGTTCACGTATTTTAAATTTCCGGGTCCATTACATGCAATAAGATTCATCATTGAATAATTATTGTGTTTGTACCAATAAAATATTTGTATTTGTTCATGAATTGAATGCTTCTTTTTGTAAATTTTTTGGGATGTAAAAACGTTGACCGAAGTACATTTTGAATGAAGCGCGGAAGCTAGGATCATGAAAACACGATTTATATCCAGTTTTTTCTTTTATTTACTTGTGCACTTTATTGTGGAAGCTCGGGTCATCATGAATGTTACATTTCATTTTGAAATGAAGGTTAATTTCAGAATGACGCGAGATTGCTGTTATCCAATCGAAATAACGTATTCTAATGAAACATACATGTAATGTAATTATAATTGTATGTTTCATTATAATACTTTATGATAAATTCTTTACAATGGGAAAGTTAACAAAAATAGACGAAAAAAAGCTGGATTAACAATGCTATATAAAATTAATTGGGGGTTAGTAGAAGTTCCAAATGACAATTTAACAAAATCTGATAGACGTACTATTGGGCAACATAAATGTTCATTTAATGAAGTCCATATGTACATACCACACAAGTTCCGGGAAGTTTTAGTAATTACACTCCTATCTAGGAGTCTACTCCCGTATTCGGAAGAAGAAGAAGTTGATTGGCTAACAGCAATCTCGCGTCATTCTGAAATTAACCTTCATTTCATTGTGCACATTTTTAGAATGAAGCGCTTGCGCACTTCATGCAAAATGTACTCTGTCAACGCTTTTACACCCTAATAAATTTACAAAAAGAAGCATTCAATTCTTAATTGATTGAAGTTTTGTTTTGCGGCTTGTTCAGGACGAGAACAAATAAATAATT